TTTTCCTCTTTTCTGTGAATCTGAAGGGCAGAAGTTAATCACCTGAGGTTAAGTTATTGAGCAAGACTGAGTTTCAGTGCCTAACAGGCACAGGACTACATTAACAGTGGTGGCTTGGAGTGTGGCCCGTCACAGATCAGTGTTTCAAGTGAATGCTTTTAAGGATAAAAAAAAAAATTTCTTGAAAGATGGTAGGCCATCAGGGAAGGAGGAGATGGCAACAAATCATTCATCAGTAAAGTGTATGAAAAATGGCATTTTGTAGAAAATAAGACATTTTGATTAAAGTATGAAGTATTAAGAGTCAAGAAGTTAAGTGACTAATACTATTATAATGTTTTAAAATTTTTTAAATGAATCCAGGAAATTTCAAATGAGTCTTTTTCTGAGGTTTTTGTTCCATTTTGTTTTGGTTTTCCCCTTAAATTTTATAGTTGGTCCAGAAACAGAACATGTCTCCAGAATTTTGTTAGTAAGAACTGGAACGTTGGTCACTTGAGACTGAATGTTGCTCTTCGTGTCTACTTGCTAGGGAATTCAGTCAGTTTTCAGGGAAGAAAATACTGATTTAGAGTTATTTTTCAGTATTACAATGTTTTAAAAAAGATTTAAGATTATTTTAAATTATTTCAATGTTTTCTAAATGCCACGTTAAAATTTTATTGAGATGTATCTTTTCCATTAAAATTGACTCTATGGGAATTTGTTTAACGCAAATTTTTCTTTGCCGTTGATAGCGATTTTAAAAGTTAAGACTTTGATTTTCAAATAGTCAGGGACAAATTTTTTGTCAGTAAAAGAATGAAAATGCTGACCATCTGCTTGAGTGATGAAGGCAACTTGTGGCCTCGATAGGGTTTCCTTTCCAGGTCAGAAATTCCTCACTGACCTGCCAGCTACACAGCCTTTCCCTATGCCTGTGGCCTGGAGACACCAGTACCCAAGTGTCTGTTCAATCCAATCTTAAAAGAGTGTGTGTGTGTGTGTGTGTGTACGCGCGCACACATGTGTGTGTGTGTTCCACAATACCCAAGTGTCTGTTCAATCCAGTCTTAAAAGATTGTGTGTGTTCCAATCCTAATATTTTAAGTCTGACACCTTGAAATGTATTTTTTATACTATGTGTTTGTATACCTTGGCCTATAGAGACAAGTAAATAACAGGTGAATAAATTATTGTCAAGTGTTCAAACACTTGACTGTCTACCTCCTGATAGCCTGTTCAGTCTACCTCCTGCAATAGCCTGGCTCAATATTAGAATTGCAGATCCACTTGTTCTCAAATTAGATGAATAATGGACACTTTTCTCATAATTTCTTATCAGATACACAGAAAAGCTGTCTATTTCATCCTCAGAATTTGTCATCTGAAACACAGTTTACGGTCTTAACTTTCAAATGCATGTGAGAATAAGACGTATTATGATTCAAATGTTAGGAATTAAATTCAGCTGTAACTACTTCAGAATTCTGTTTTCACTTGTAGTCTAGTTTTTAGCTAGTTTAAGAAATACATTAACTAGACCCTTAAGATCCTTTAAGATTCAGCATGTCATTTAATCTGGCAGCTTATTTTCTTGTTAAGCTTTTCAAACCCTTTGTAACACTGCCAGAGTAATGATGGAAGCTGGCTTGGTGTGCATCCCCATCCCAAAACCGGGGAAGCAGAGATGGGAGCACCCCTGGGCTTGCTGCCCACCTAGTCTGCCGAATCAACAAGTTCCAGGTTCAGTGAGAGCCTACGTGAAAACATGAACATCTGAGTACACACAACACCCAGCAGTTTGTGTGAGTGGGCCTATGAACAGTCGGCAGTATAACCGCGAGTAAAGCACTTACATAGTTGGGAGTCTCCTAATACTCCGAAGTTAGTCCTTGTTGAACCTTTGTGTAGAACCTTTAAAGACCGCTCATAAGGCACAGGGAGACCCCTTAAAGATAGGCTGGATGCCAGATAGGCCTGCATCTGTCACTGGTAATGCTGTGGAAATTCTTTAGATGTGTTTTTCAAGTATGTACAAGGTTACTTAGATAGCTGTAAGTTTTTTCTTGTGTCAGTTTGGGTGTTGAATTTGAGGTCCTGAATATTGTCACCAAGTGCTGTGGCACTAAGAAGTCCCTGCCTCCAGCTCTGCTTTTTATTAAAGTTTTTTTTTTCTTTCTAGAGTTGACCCATGTTATTCTACCCCACATCTCGGACCATAGGACTCAGTATTTCAGATAAAATAGGAGGAGGCTAAAAATGTTCCATGTTAGAAGACATGGTTCTGCTTAAACTCAATTCCAGGTAAACAATGTTTGCCATCGAAGTAGCTGCACTTTGTCACATATCAAAACCTAGCTTTTGCTAATTTTGTTTTGTTACTTTTTAACCATGTTTTTAAAGCTGATGTAGGCAGTGGCTTAAAAAACAAAAACAAAAAAACCACTTCTGGACGTGGGGGACCAATACTGCTTTTTAGTATCCCAAGATGACAGGGCCACAGTTCCAGAAAGATAGCTGTATAAGCTCGGTGAACTTGAAAAGTTACTGATGATTTGGAAACTAGGTTGATTTGATTTTTATGTTCATTGTGTTATACTAATGTGGTTTGAGTAAGCATGGTCCCAATAGGCTCATATTTGAATGCTTAGTTGCCAGGGAGTGGAACTGTTTGAAGGGATTAGAAGGTGCGGTCTTGTTGGGAGAAGTGTATTAGTGGTGATGGGCTTTGAGGTTTCAAAAGCCTATTCCAGGCCCTCTTTTCCTCTCTGCCTGCAGCTCAGGTTGTCGCTTCTACGGCTCCTGCACCATGTTCCATGCCATGGTGATAAGAAACTATAAGCATAAAAGGAAGCGAGAGTTGCCTTGGTTATCGGTCATACTTCATAGCAATAGAATAGTGATTAAGACAAATACTATTTGGAAGTTCTCTATCCCATTCTAAATTACTTAAATGAGTAAGAAGTACTCAGTGAATGCAGAAGTATGAGGAGTGCTTTTCTGGGTTTAGTTACCCTAGTCCCTCTCTGATGACTGTATCTAGTATCACGGTACAGATTACACATTATCAAAACTTTAGTACATTTTCGTTAGCATATATTAATAGCATAAGCATGTAATGGTTCTTGTTGGCATTCTTGCCACATGTATAAAAGACACCGTTCATATTCAACCCTCCTTTTTGCCAGGATTTATTTTCAAGCATGTACTTGTATTTTAGCTTCACCTAAGGAGATTAATCTTTTTCCTGTTGTGGTGCATATATTAGGATTCATGTAGTTAACTGGTCCTGGTGTGGCTTTTTCACAAAAAATCCTGGTGTGGGGACTTCATTCATATAGTTGCAAGATAAATTTGTGCCATGTGTCAGATCCCACAGAGTACTCATACAAACACGACCCAGTTGATGTCGCAAGGAAAAAAATGGAATCAGTGAGTAGCTTGTGTATATGTTCCTCTAATAGCTTTTTCTGTGATTTTATTTGGTTGAGAGTTTGGAGAGGATTGTCTTTTTTTTTTTTTCTGAAGACAGATTGTGGGGACTGATCAGCAGATAAATAACTCTGAAGACAGGAGTTAGTAATTCAGAGTTTTATTTAATTTGAAGTTCAAACTCAGTCGCTAGAGTTCTTGGATTGATGAAACAATGGTCAAAAGGTAGTAAATCTTTAGAACTGTCATGTTAGTCTCTTCCTGTATCTTGAGTTCCTATTATTGTATTCTTAGCTGGTGTCTTGCTGATGTCTCCAATGGGGAAACCCACAAGTGCTTTATTCAGAGTTGAGTTTTCTGCCAGGACAGTAGTCACTGACATTAATGATCTTAATCAAATTTGCAGAAACTGTGCCAGAAAGGGTCCTCCCAATATGTTCCTCATGGTTCTGAGGAGACCTCAGTACTGGTCACTCTCCAGCCATCAGAATGTAAGCATACACATGTTAACTGCTTGTATGTAGTTTTCAGTGATGTGTGGACGTTACTTTTATTTGAATATTTCATGTTGTTACCATGCAGAGATCCTACAGTCCAGTATGCCCTCATCTCAAATATGAGCAAAACTGGGTGTCAGCTTATGAGTATGAGAATTTGTGAATGTATAAAGGTTTTTATTTGTATTTAAAATGCTTAAGCAAAAACCTTCACTCTTTATAGAGTTAACTAGAGTGTGACGGGGATGACTGAGGTACAAGGGGCCTCCCAACTCCACACATGAAGACAGAAACTAGAAATTAACACTTTATTTGAAGTTTTGTTTTCCTAACTGGCAAAGGTCAGGAGGGTTTCCACGGTCCTAGTCTAGGAAAGTCCCCCTCCCCATCATCCTTTCTGAGTGAGGCCTGAGTGAAATACTTTTAAGTAGAAGGGCTTTGGCAACATCATTAAATAAGAAGGGGGAATTGAGAGGCTTTCAGGACAATGGTGATTAAGAACGTAGAATAAGGGATGTCCAAATCATGTTATAAACAAAGTACACAAGACTCCCTGGTGCATGTATGATTACTTATTTGGTATGTAATTATCTACACCGTTTGTTTGTTCCTTTTAGGGTTAAGGTATGGACAAAGGTGAGAAACAGGATAGGAACGAGCCCACTTCCCCTCAACTCAGCCAGGACGGTAGTGTCTTAACACAGAAGGCTGCTTGTGCTACCGGTATGAGAGGAGGCTGAGCTGCACACAGTTCACAATGATTGGAAACTCTTGCCTTGGTACTGAGCATGCTTCCCTGCTTGGTGCTGCCTTTCTCTAGCCTGCTTAGGCTTCTGCCTTGTGTTCTCCCATGCTCAGTGAGTCGAAATTAGTTTTGTCAGGAAGGAAAGCTAAATAAAGGAAAAGGAGTGCTTTCATGCTTCGTGTGTGATAGTGTGCAGTGGTGGTGTCAGGACATAATCTGGAAGTTACGTTTTCGTAAATGTACGCAGTTAGAAGCTGACTTTTCTCACTGAACCAAAAACAGAAAAGAACCAACCAAGCATGCACACGTACACACAAGAATAGGGAAGAAGATGGGATGGCAACTTTGACTGGAAGCTTGGGTGTGCTTCTTGTTACTTTCTAGCTTAAGACCCAGTTTACTGCCTTAGAGGTATCTGAGGTTCCAGATGATGGGCTGGTGTAATGTTCTTAGACCTTGAGTGTGCTGGAGGCCCGGAAGTAGGAGATGAACTTATAACAGAAGCTCACAATGAAGAACCAGATGTTCCGAGCCATCTGAGACCTTGCAATGAGGAGGCGCCAGATGATAAGAAACAGGGCAGTGTTAAAGAGGTAGTGAATGTTCCGGAGCCTGAGAGACAAAGACAAAAGCACAGTTAAGACCGCACCTGCATCCAGCTGTTACCCAAAGCATAAAAGTGTTCCTGTCGGTGACCAGCAAATACCAAGTTCTCCGGGCCCATGGCATGGCTCGGTGCCCTTGCTTTTTACGTCTTTTGTTTCCTGTTCTTGAATTACCAGGTTTCCCTCATATTTTCGCAGCTTGTTACTCCTTCCCCCTATTCTGAAGTTCTTGCAATCATGATTCATGGATGAACACAATGTTTTTGAAATCCACTCTGGTTTTTTCAATATTGAAAACTCTCTCTGACCAGTGAGGCTGCTAAGTGGGTAAGTGCACTTTTGGAACAAACCTGGAACTTGAATTGCAACCCATGTGAGGGTCAAAGGAGGAAATTTGACCCCACAGAGTTGTCCCCTGACCTCCACAGGCACTATGGCATGCACAGCCACACACCATGCACAGCAGTTTAAAAATGATCACTGTCTTATTGGCTGGAGGGTATAGCTAGTGAACTTAGAAGCCTGCTTTTCAAGTGTTCTTCCTTTTAGTGGTCTGTCTTTCCATGAATGATGACCTGACTCCTCTTGTCTGTCAGGAATTTAGACTAAAGTAGGAAGGAGCTGTAGGAATTGAAGAGTCGTTATGTGATTTTCCTAGTTTTGTAGCATAAGCTGCCCTTTGGGTCATACTGTGGTAAGGTGCACAAGAACAGACAGACTTGGGCTCAAGCCTAGCTCCAGTATTGGTTTCCATGAACTTTTGTTGTTGTGCCCTAAATACTTCCTGTGCTAATGGGCTAACAAAAAGAACACCTACCTTGGGAGTGAAGGTGAGGTCTAAATTAACAGTGTGTATTATAGGATAGTATGGAATGCAGCAGGGTCTGCAATGCTCAAGAAGTGTGAATCCAGTCTCATAATAGCTGCTGCATAAATGCCGAGTAATTTAATTCAAACACATTCTAGTATGAAGCCAGTCAGCAGTAGCATCTCACAGAGAGATATCAACGAATGTGCCTACCTTTTTAGGTGTTGCTTTGCTTTGGGAATACCAGCCAGATCCTCTTTCAGTAGATACTTCTTAACCCCCAAAACATAATTCTCAAAGTATTCAAGCCAGTTCAACTGACGCACGTCAAAGTTGAATACCTGCAAAGCAAGAGAGGGGCTGCCAGCATTGCACTGCCAGGTAGTCACCTTGTCCATTGTGGGTACCCAGAGCTCATCAATAAGGCTAGAATTGCTGGCCAGTGAGCCTCAGGGACCCAGATGTCCCTACCTCTCCACCACTGTTATCAAGCAGGCAGTGAACATCCAATTACAATCCATACACTAGTTCTCCTAGCTGCACTGAACTTGTTTCCTGTGAGTGCTGACATTATTGTCTGGTTTTCTTAGGGAAAAAAAAAAATCCTCTGCATACCTAACACTCCGCCATCATCTGGTCTCAATTCTGAGTTCCCATCGTGCTCTGGAGTTAGAGCCATACTTACCCTCTGGTCTTCAGGACTGAGCTCTGACAGAAGCATCTCCGTGTTGTTTGTGCTCCATTCCCAACTGTGGTTGATGAAATACTCCAGCATGGAAATGGTTTTTAGCAGCCGGTTCATGAGCTTCAGCATCCTGAGGGAAAGACCAGTTAGGAGCTGGCGCTGTGCATCCTGCCCACTCCCTCTTCCTGCACGGGGGAGGGTGGCTAAGTATCATTAAGGAAGTGCAAGTGCTGCACTCAGGAGACCAAGGCAGAAAGACGGTTATGACATCAAGATCAGCCTGGACTACTTAGTGAAATCAAGTCCAGTAAAACTGTCTTTAAAGAACAAAACAAATAAAAAATGTACCTCTCTTCCCTCCAAATTCTCAGAATACTTTTTTGAGATCCTGGGTCATTTGCCTCTTTTGGCTAGTTTACAATAACAGTTTCTACCACGAAGCTTTCGTGTTCATCTTTTATAAAGTACCGTATACCTTCCTTCAGGTAAGTGAGTCCCAGCAAAAGTCTAACAAATTGCTCACGCTAAAATCTACTTGTGGTATTAGAAGGGGTTTTTATAAATTTCTGTGAAAGTTAGAATTCTTATTTCCTCTCGTCACTTTTCACGTTTCCTAACAGTGTCCATCATCAGACATTTACGTCCTCCCAAGCACCTATCTCTCATCAGACATTGCAAAACTAAGCTAGGTACTTACTCGCCTGAAAGGATTACAGTTTTTGTTTTTAGTTTTGAGTCAGATCTTTACAAAGCTAATTTCTTTTTTCACATGTTCTTAAACTTGTAAAACCAAAAACAGGACCTCAGGTCTTAGTATAAAAAACTTTAGGCAGCGTTGCATTATTGAATTGTAATTCAGACTTAAGGAAGAAAAACTTAATATTCATAATCTACTCTGTTAGATGCAGTGCTGACACTTCTAAAAAATACTAACTGCTGATTTTTTTTTATGGATACTTTGATTTTTTTTTAATCTTTTTTTTGAACATGAAATGCTTTTTTATAGCATGTTTTACAAGGGGAGGAGGTAAGAGGGGCCAGGTGGTGGAAAAGTACAGAATCTTCTTGGCCTGTGCCTTGAAACATGTCATGGTCTATACGGTACACTGCCTTGAATTATGATCTACCTGCTATTCTTCAGAAGATATGGTACACTGCTTGAGTTATGGTCTCCCTGCTATTCTTCAGAAGATATGGTACACTGCTTTGAGTCTGTCTGCAGTTGCCAAGCAGGATCTTGCACTAACTGCTGATTTTTGTAACAGCCTTGTAAGTAGCTCTTTGCCTGCACTTTTCTGAATATGGTTCATAAGTTTAAGAGTGTCAGCATTTAAACTCCAACCTAGTTCTGACAAACCCCAGAGAAGAACTCTTGTAGTACCACTACCCTGTGTCCTTTGCTTACAGTGGAGTGCCCATGCTCAGAACATGAACCAGCTCTTCTCTAGAAACCTCTTAGGACTGTGAAGTAGCCAGAATTTACCCATACTCTCTTTTCAGAAAGGTTATGTTCATGCCACGTAGGAAATGTTCCAGGTAGGTCTCTGCATTGAAAGTGTGGTTAAGCTTAGCTTGGTACTGGAGTATAGTCAATTCTGTTACAAATTGTGATGCTCTGGGAATTTGGTAGTTCCCATCAACTACTGAAAGAATTTCATGGGAAATTTCTTGTTGGGGAAGTAGATTTAAATATTCTAGGAGCAGTAGCTGTCCAAGGAGTGTTAATTTTTAGAACAACAATAAAATTGTTATCCTCAGGTAGAAGCCTTTTGTACATAAAACACAAAACATGTAAAGAAAAACTTAGAACTTAGTCACAACAGTGATTATTATATTCTGCACACCTTTATGTCAAATACCTGTTTTCTATCCCCCTTTTTATAGAAGAGTTAGAATTTAGAAAGAAAGTATATTTATGGCTCATGGCTAAATTAGTGAAGCCAAGATTTTTAATCCTGGCTCCCAACTTGACAATGTCAGATCTTACAGTGACTGACTTTATAAAAAGCCATAAAGGGATTATTTTGGGGCCAGTGATGGATGGTTCAGAGGCTAAAAGTGCTTGCTGCCAATAACAATCTGGGTGCAATCTGCGTTCAGAACACTCATGGTAGATACAACCAACCTCCCTACCAGGTACCCTCTGATCTCCGCTCCTGTGCAATGATAGTAAAGACACAATAAATAGATGTAGAAATATTAATTATTTAAAATAATTATATCACAGAAACAAAATAACTCATTGTCCAATCCAGTATGGTTTAGTTACTTCCAAACAAAATGCATATTGATCTTTTTGTTTGTTTGTTTGTTTCCTGTTTCTCTTTTAATCACCAAACCTTGCTTTATCTAGGCACCTAGAATTTCTTCTTGTGTTTTTCTTCTCCCATTCATACTGGGGGAAATCCACACAGATGTTTTCCACACAGTCGCAATGCCTCCTTATGTGGGTGAGAAAAGGTAAATGAGCCACACGGCCTTTGTGTTGGTAGTGGTTTCTGTGCTAGTCCAGGGAGTGCTGGATGTGTCAGAAAGGCCTCCCACCTCAGAAAGGGGCTGTTCAGAGGTCAGTTCTGTTGCTGTTTGGACTGTGATTCCAGGAATCTCCTCCTGTTGAATGTGTTGTGGAGGTAGCAGGAGATGTGCTTTGTCACTGTTGGGTGGTGACAGAGCTGGCTTTGCTTGGCATCTTGTCCCTCTGTCTTTCATCGCTCTAGATGTCAGTCAGTGAACCTAGTTTGCAGTAGGGGCTGTGAGGTGGCTATCTGTACTTCCTTCCTTGGTCACTTCCTGTTAGACCAGTAGTTCTCAACATTCCTAATGTCCAGTCCTTTAATGCAGTTCTTCACGTTGTGGTGTCCCCCCACCCCAATTATAAAATTATTCTATTGTTAGTTCACAACTGCAGTTTTGCTGTTGAAATGTCTGTCGTGACCCATAGGTTGAGAACCACTGTGTTAGATTATGTGGATTCTGGCCTTGGCTTCCCTTTCAGTGACAGAGATGGTAGCCATGAAGTGTGAAAATGAAAATGGGACCATCATTAGTTCTTGCCACAGGATGGCCACACAACAAGCAGTGAGTGAGGCCGGTGTCATCAGTGTGTGTGTGTGTGTGTGTGTGTGTGTGTGTGTGTGTATGTGACAGAGACATTTATCTTCTTCAATCCTCAACTGCAGAGAAGATTAAGTACTTTGGGTTCCATGTACTGATACTATTAAAACTATTGCCCCAACTTCTCACCTGGGTTTCCTTCCAGTAAGCCTCAGATAGAAGTCATAGATGATGGCTGGGGCCCGGTGGCTGACGGCGTTCCAATACTGGTTGGAGAAGTTGTTGGTGGTAAAGTCAGCATTTGGCCTTCTGAAAGCACTCTCAAATGGGATTTTTTCGATGGTCGCCAAGACCTGTAATCCTGGAACAAAAAGAAGTGCTATCTCAGAGAATGTAAGTCTATTATCTTCACACTATCTGCAGTACAGGATGACAGACTGTGTTTGCTGTATAACATCAAGAATCTGAGACCATGAAGATTTTTTTGACTGCCAGGTAAATACTACACAGTTAAGCAATGTGACTGCACTAAGAATGAACTTTTTTTTTTGGGGGGGGGGTAGGAAATTGAAACAGGGTCTCATTATACAGCTGTGGTTATTTTGAAACTCACTATGTAGACCAGGCTGCCTTGAACTCAAAGAGATCCTCTTGTCTCTGCCTCTCAAATGCTGGGATTAAAGGCATGCACTACAATGCCTGAACTTTTCTTAAAACATTTACCCACAAATAATTGAGGAAATTTCTCATTCAATATGAGGACAGGGTATTCAAAAGTATGTGTATCTATTCAATTCTGGATTTTCAAGTCTACTTTGAAAGGCCTGCGACAGAAGCTGGGAGGACCCTTTGCAAAGCTATCAGGAAAGGTTTTTAAATGTTCTTAACAGAAGTTTCCATAAAAGTATAAAGATGGCGTTCCTTGGGTGGTTCACTTAAGGTGCCACAGAGATTTTATAATTGCCTTCATTTTCGTATTATTTAGAGTAGCTTATTTAAAATTTTTAATATTTGTAGATATAATAGTTTCTTTGAGAACATTCATTTAAATTAAATTTAACTTAATTGGATCTTTTTCAAACAATGCAGTTTATTATTCAATTATGATGAAGTTATCAGTTATTGTGGTAATTTGATTATTGTCATCTTTCAAAAGATACCAAGAAATCAACATGTTAAATAAACACGTTTTTGGTTAGCTTTAACTCAAAAAGGAGAAAGTTAATTGAAAAACTGAATCAATTGATAAATGATCTGGATCAGACTGGCCTATTGGCATGTCTTTAGGGTATTTTCTTGAATTTTTAATTGGATACAGGATAGCCCAAGCCCGCTGTAGGCAGCACCATCCCTTGTATGGTGGTTTGAGTAAGAATGGGCTCCATAATGTCATATATTTGAACGCTTAGTCATTTGGGAGTGGTACTACTTGAGAAAGAATAAGAGGTGTAGCCTTGTTGGATTGGGTAGATCTTTGTTGGAGGAGCTGTTTCACTGGGGATAGGATTTCAGGTTTCAAAATCCCAAGCCAGGTTCAGTGCCTCTTCTTCTTCCTGCTGCATGCAGATCCATATGTAGAACTCTCAGCTCCTTCTCCGGCACTGCTTGCATGCTGTCATGCTTCCTACAATGATGATAATGGACTAAACCTCTAAAACTGTAACCAAGTCCCAATTAAATGATTTTTTTTAATATAAGAGTTGCTGTGGTCATGGAATCTCTTCACAGCACTAGAACAGTGACTGAGACACCTGGGCAAGCAGTCTTGGGACTATATCCGAGAGCTAACCATAGCCCGTACAGTGAGCAAGCATCATTTCTACATGACTGAATCAGTTGCTTGCTCAGAAGTAATTCTGTATAGAATAGCAACCAGGCCTGCCTTCAAGTTTCTGCTTGAGTTCCTGCCTCAATGATGGACTGTAACCTAGAATGTAAACAAAATAAATCCCTTCTTCCTCCAAGCTGTTTATGGTCGATGTGTTTTATCAAGGCAAAATATGTAGTGAACATTCACACTTAACAGCTATAGAATTGACCTTGATATACCTGCCCTTTTCTGACACATTTTACAGCACCTTTAAATAATAATTTGTTTTCCCCCCTTTTCAGTAAGTCAACCAAAATCGTTGGAGTTATCTTGATCTTCTTCTTTGTTCAACAACTCTTATAACACTGAACACCAGAATAATTGGCCTTCTCCTTGAAAAGTATCCACCTTCACCGTTTCCATTGTTGTCACGGGTAGGAGCTGTCTCTGTAGGTTATATATTGGGGTAGACTCAGCATTGGACCTTGCTGTGCTCTTGTGCCCCAATAGTCTGATGTCCATACAGCAGCTAGGGTGAGTCTTTGAAAATGCTACTTAGGGTTAGACTCTCTTATTTGGAGGGAAGCAAAACCCTTATTCCAGTTGATAAGACCTTTTAGCATCTGCGTCTTCTTACCCAGAGAGAAAATGTTTCAGAAGACGGATAAGGCCCTGCAGGATCTGCCCGACCCTCACTCCTGCGCCCATCCTTCTAGGTTCATTTTCTATCATTTACCTCTAAGTTGCTGCTCAATACAAGATGACCTTCCTGTCCTTGAATATGAATAAAGAGCTATTGTACTGATGGACCCTTCAGCCTATGAGACATCTTTCAGCTGTCTTCTGACAAGCACTCTCTTGCCTTGGGTCTCTGCTGAGATACCACATTACCAGAGCTGTTTCCTTGACCGCCACATAAGAAATCATCCTTCTTACCTCAGTCTATTGTTCTTCCATCACTTAATCATATCTGGTGTATAATCTTGCTTTTGTCCCTACACAGACCTTGAGAAGGGGCTGGCAGGCAATTGGCACTCAGTGAATACATTTGAACTGAATGAAAGAGTATCTCAGTAATACATAATTTCTATTTCCTAAGTCTATCTTGACTCTGTAGTTATTTCACTGTGGTCTTATTTTACTGTGGTCTCATGTCACTAAAACAAAAAAAAATTTAGATCATTTTAGATGTTCAGACTAGGAAATGATTATTAACCTGTGATAGTTTAGCTGGCTATAAGATCAATATACTAGTCAGCCTTGTGTCTTCCCAGTAACCATTCGAAAATGTATTTATTTATAAAGATACCATTAATTATTAACAAAATTATACATCTCCTAGCTCCTAGGTATAAATCTGATAAATGTTTAAGAACTATATGAAGGGATGAAGTTTGTTTTTCCTTGACGTTCATTAGAGACAATGAATGGATGTTACATGTCCACCTATCCAGCTGTCAGTTACTCTGCATGACATTTGAAACTACAAATGTTCAGCCTATGGTGACTTTACTAGTGGTTCCAGCTGGAAGCATTTGGATCACTTCTAATATCCCTGTTGTGAGGCATAAATGAGTTTCAAACTAATCAAACTCGAATTAGTGAACAGTGACATCCTAATGTGCTGTTACGCTTCTTGTGTGGAGGCTTGGCACTGGATGAAGGACATGACCACCTAAGCATATCTGCTGTGGTGTGAGGGGAGGGTAAGCATGTATGTACAGTATTTATCATTTCTGGAAAGGAACTTCTCAAGTTACAGCCTATCATACAAGAAGCTATGGCACCTGGCTGTTCTGCTGCCATGATACCATTACTCCTCAGGTGGTATCCCTGAAGCATGTAGAGTAAGTTACTGTTGTAACACAAAGGGGAGCTGTGTCACTGGGAATTCAAGCCTTCACTAACCTTCTGTTACCATTAGGTCTTTATTTCCAAGGGTGTTGGGCAAGTAGATTCCATCCCTTATAAGTAGACAAGATGTGGTGGTTTGAATAAAAATGGCTCCCATAGGCTCATATATTTGAATGCTTAATCACCAGGAAGTAGCACTTTTGAAAGGATTAGAAGGATTTGGAAGTGTGGCCTTGTTGGAGTAGATGTGGAATTGGAGGAAGTCTGTCACTGGAAGTGGGCTTTGAGGTTTCAAAAGCCCATGTAGGCTAGGCCAAGGCACATTCTCTCCCTTGTCACTACTTGCAGACCAGGATGTAGCTCTCAACTGCTTTTCTGGCACCATGCCTCCCACTGCTTGCTGCCATTCTCCCCAACATGATGTTAATGGACTAAGCCTCAGAAACTGTAAGCAAGTCCCCAGTTAAATGCTTTTGTTTGAGAATGACCTTGGTCATGGTGCCTTTCACAGCAATAGAACAGTGACTAAGACAGAAGCCAATAGAGTCTGTGTAGTATGTGTTTCTTAAAGCAGAGACCGCCAGCTTCTATAATCACATAGAAGGTTCTGTGGCCTTACCTAAGGTCCTTGATCAAAGGTTCTGGCTTTATTTTTTGTTTCAGTGGTGACTTATATTTTCTTTTATAAATTAGTGGTGGAAGGATTACTCACACAGAAGAGAGACAGGAGACCTGGCTTCACTTTCATTTCAGGGACTAACTAGCTCCCTTTATCCAAGGAGCTTGTTTGATTTTTCTGGGCTTCATGTTAGTTAAGCACCCCAGATTCTTTTTAAGGTCCTTTTAACTGTAATCACCTCTAATTCCATAAAGTGAGAGTTTTCAGGAAGGAAAAAAATTTTAAAAATACTACATCCTCTAAGCTCTTTTTGGAAAAAGAGCTTATTTTATGTGGAGTTGTGTGTATATGTGTGTGTTTCTGTGTGGGTATGCGCACATTCCCTGAAGCTATAGTTAGTTATAGGTGACTGTGAGTCAACTGATGTGGGTGCTGATAACCAAACTAGATCCTCTGCAAAAGCAGTACACACTCTTAACTGTGGGCCATTTCTCCAGCCAGAGTACACACTGTCTTATTTGCATGGGTGGGATCTTAGATATCTCCCACTACTGATACAAAAACAGATTATCTTACTATTTTGAAATTTGGAAATAAATTCTGTTTTAGAAATGTGATGTAAATAACTTAGGTTTATGAAGAAAAGAACTTGATCATAGATAACTTTGTGTTTGCAACTTTGCGAGTACAAAGGACACAGTGTATGTGCTCTGAATGGGAATCAGACCAATACAACAACTCGAGAGTCTACAATCTCAGACCGTGGCAAGAAAACCAACTCCCTAGGCAATAAAGGAGCACACCATTGGCTGACTGGTCAGGCAGATCCCTAGATATATGAGATCTGTTACCAACAGAACACTTAGGGTCACAGGTACTGAACAGTTAGGGGCAGACAGCTGCAGAAATGGATTTGTCATACACTGCCCCATAACTGAGGTGGACTGTTGTGTGACCTTGCTAAGTCTGCCACTGTTTATCTACATACTTAGAAATGCAGCAGAGGGAAAGGCCACCACGAAAGGCACAGGTATGTGGGAAGCGGATTGTCACCAACACTATCTTTGCCAATTTTGTTTTTAAAACCTCCTGTCAGACTTTTCATTCCATGTAATGTAATCATACATGTAATCAATCATACATGTAATCATGTATTCCCACCAACCATTTTTTATATCACTGTATACCCTAGTTAGCTGCAGCACATTAATAATTGGCAGAGATTTTTCTCTCTTTATGGTTTTGTGTTGGCTTCTTCCTCAGCTGTGTTCTTGGCTGCAAAACACATTCTGTTTTTTCCCTGGTCAATACAGGTAGTTATGTGCTTACGTAGTTAAAGGCACTTACCCATTTCATACCAGTTACAGGGATTGAGATTACCAGATGTGGAATGGTAGATTAATGTTGATTTAGGCCTGGAAGGAAAGATCAAAGTTCAATAAATACGACGAAATTGATAACTAATGAAAGATAAAGGAAAATAACACTGAGGTTTCAAAAACTCCCGTGGCTTCTATAATCTACACAGTACTTCCAGATTCTGCAGTTCTACACAGTACTACCCAGTTCTTTCCTTGAGTTGATAGGAAAAATGGAAAAGACAAAGTACACACATTGATATGTCACATAGCTGTGGAACACACATGCTCGAGTTCACATGAGAAAAACGTCATTCTCCTTGTCATGTATGACAAGACAGAGCCACACGCACACAACCTTCTCTTTGTACCAACAATTTCCTGTTTTATCTCTTGGCATTTACCAGCAACTAAGTAGCTGTCCAATAAAATATATACTGTGCTGCCATTTCATCAACTAATATTTTAGGATGTTGAATAGGAAGAAAACTTTTTTTGGTTATTCAAAAATTCCATGGTAAGTCATTTAATGGTACATTGCTTTATAACCCACCAAGTACTAATCAGTTTTCATACACCTTAGCTGGTATAGGAAGGTACATTGGGAATTCTGAGATACTGAACAAACATCCTATTGTTTTGTAGTCCTGTAGACAAAAAGAGTGACTGACATCAGCTCCCCCATCTCTCACGGGCCTGTGTAAATGTACTTACCTATGAACTGCAGTATACCATCCTACTGCTATGGTGAGATTAACAACCGTGTCAACTGGAATCACATCTGCCACTGCCATGGGAGTCGCTTTTATGGACCGAAGAAATCCTTTCCCAGTCTGCTCAGGAGACATGGAGCATAAAATATAAACCAGATGTAAAGTCACAGCCAGGACTAGTCTCTGTGTGTGGGAGTCAGTCACTAGCCCTCTGCTTTTGCTGTAAGAATCCATCAGTGGATGGGCACATCTCTGTGCACGCGTGTGCATGCCCGTGTATGTGTGTGTAAACTAGCTGCTGTTCTTTGTCTATTAAAAATACATGTTTAAATGATGTTTATTTCCCATCTAGACTGTCGCAGAGAAAGCAATGAAAGCAGTCAAGGAGTCAGGGAATTATGCGTGTCCACAAGCCCATGGGCCCACAGGCCTCCAGACCCACAGCGTTTTCTATTCTAGTGCTAAGGATTGCATAATCTTTGGGATACATTGTTTTTTTGTTTTTGTTTTTTGTTTTTTTGTTTTGAGACGGTGTTATATAGCACAGGTGGGCCTTTAACTTCTAATTCCTTTGCCTCTCTTTAATCTGGTTATTTCAGGTATGAGCTGTCACACACACTCAGTTTATAAAGTGCTGGGCATCAAACTCAGGGCTTCAAGTATACTAAACCAAGCACTCTACCAACTGAGCAACATTCCTCTTGAGGCTAATCTTTTCACCATATGCCCGATTGGCTGCATTAGTTCAAGCCATTAATAAAGTACCTTCACTTTATGGCAACAAAAGGAAAATTTTTGGTGTGCAGACATCTCCAAAGTAAAACTGAATAACAACTGAGCATGTTAGTCACCTCTGTCCTGATGATAAAAGCAACTTCCAGCAGCCCCATCTTCCAGTTAGTGACTCTAGATCAGCCCCTCCCTTTATCACCACACATACTTTTGCGTCAAGGAAGCGTGAGTCAACACTAACACTTGTTACTGTTCTCTACTCCAAGGGGTTACTTTCTCATCTTTGTACTTACCGCAATAATGAGTCCGCTGGGTCCATTTAAATTATCAACCCAACCCTGGAAAGAAAGATCTTTGTTGGTTACATGTTTCAGAAAATTGTTATCCTTAGACGGTCCAGTCTGCTCATGTGGGGGAGGGTGCATGGGGACGCGTATATATGCGTGTGTATAAACCCATTTGTAATATTAATTGGTCATAACAGGAAAAGAGAAGAAGAGGTGGGGAGAAGGAATGAAGGGATGAGTAAAAGAGGGTGTAAGGAAGCAGGAAAAGGAGAAGAGTGTAAGAGAGAAGGGCATAAGGGGGGAGGGAAAGGAGGGTGTAAGGAAGGATGAGGGTGTAAGGAAGGATAAGGAGGACGTAAAGGAAGAGAAGGAGGGTATAAGGGAGGAGGAGGAAGAGAAGGAGGAGGAGGAGGAGGAGGAGGAAGAGAAGGAGGAGGAGGAGGAAAAGGAGGAGGAGGAGGAGGAAAAGGACAATCAGAAGTTGGTTTTTAAGGCACCTGGCTTGAAGCAAAGCAGGGAAAGTGTTGGGCTCACCGGGAAGGGCTCCTGCCAGGTCGCTCCCACTATGGAGGGCCTGACAATGGCCACATTTAGGTTTCCACTTTCTTGCTGGACTACCACCTCTCCCAAGGCTTTGGTGTAGGTGTAGGTGTTGGGCCGGTCCCCAATCAGCTTGGGAGTGATCTCTTCAATGATAGAGTCATCTAACCACCTGAAGGCAGAGAATTTTTTTTTTTTAGTAATATCCACTGTACGATAGGAGAAGAAGAAAACAAACACAGCCAGTCAAACAAATCTTCCACCTTTTGGCTTGAATTCTGAAAGGCAGAACCATCTCAGGGTCACAAAGACAAGTGTGTGTGTTCAAATCACTCCTCCATATACCTTAGTTAAGTCTGCTTCCTCCCACCCAGATACTTGATTATTTCCATGGATATGTAATTTGCTGCATCACATGTAACCCTTATCTTAGCTTCTATAGTAACTCTCATTAGTGTGTCTACCGAAGGGTGTATGAGTGCCAAGCCCATCTCCAAGAGCAAGACCTCAGCTTAAGGTCTCCTCCAAGCTGTTTCTTTTCATTCAGGATTGTCCAGTGAAGTCATCTTGTACCAGTTTTAAACCTCTAGTCTTTAACTTTTAAAATTTCAGTGTTTCCACCATCAAAGAAGCTACATTTGGCAGACTTAATATCCTGACATAGTATGAAGATCTGTTTAGAATCTAAGCTAAAAACTTGATGACTGTTGAGGGCTTCCAATGATTCTGGTGTTAACTGGAGTGAATCCAGAGCTCTGCAGAAGCACCAACTGCACAGCTACTTAACACTGATCAGTGCCGCTTAGGGGTGATAGGCATTACCCGAGCATCAGCCTAATTAAAAATATGCCAGAGCCATTGTAATAATCCCATCCTTCGACACTTCTCTATGCAAGCATTATTGTCATTTAAATATGTAGTCCTTCTTTTAGGTAGCAGGGCTATTTGGTTAAGTTTTTTATATAATGTAAAAGTGTCAGGCTGCCTGAATACATTCATGTAAGTCTTTTAAAAATATTTTTAAATTATATTTATTTATCTTGTGTGCGTGCAGAGGAAGAGTGTGCATTTGCCACAGAGTCAAGAGAACTTGTGGGAGTCAGTTCTCTCCTTCTATCATGTGGGCTCTGGGGATTGAATGCAAGTCATCAGGCTTGGTGGACAATCTTGCCAGCCATGTTCCTGCAATCCTTAAACAGATGTGTTCAGTGCGTTCATTCTGATTTTATAGGAGAAAGTACAACTCTACTATTCTGATTGTAGGAAACATTAGCATTTATCCCTCTACTCCTATGACAAACTGTTAAACACTGTGTCTGATGGTAAGATCTATTCAGAGTTATGGCTATGAATTTCAATCACTCTTACTGACAGTGGGGCAGAATACAAAGACTGGCCATAATGGTTTCATTTTCTTTCCTTTGCTCCTATTAGTACTGAGTATAATATGGACACACAAATTCCCTAGGGTTGAATGTGGAAAAGTAGAGAAAATCCCTAGAATCAAAACAATTCCAAACACAGAGAAATAGAAGATACTAAATTTTATATCAAATATTAAATTTGTATAAAGTACTTGCCATGCAAGTGTTGAATAGTAGAGTTTGGACCCCCAGATCCCATATAAGACAATTTGTCAGCCTATCTGTAACACCAGCACAGGGAGGCAGAGAGAGGCTCACTGGAACAAATTGTACAGCTGGACTAACCACATCAGCAAGTTGCAAGTCATCCAAGAGACTCTGCCTTGCAATACCACGGAAGCTATTGAGAGATATTTGACATCAACTTTGAGCTGCCATATGCTTTCACATGTGTATACACACATCTGTGTGCTCACATGTGAATATACATGCATGCACACCATACACACATACACAAGCCAAGAAGAATTAAGTGACCACAGGAGAATTGAGAGAATGATAGATTAGACAGTCACCTAGGCAGTCTTGATAACCCTCGTTATCTAAGGGAGACTGATTTTCATGTAACCTATGCATATCCTAATGTGTATTTAAGTCTTCTCTAAATTACTTACTACATTGAGCATAATGTAAATGCAATGTGTTTGTTGTATTATTTATGGAATAATGACTGAGTACAGACACAGTATTTAGATTGACATTTGGTTGAATGTAAAGACAAAAAGTCACAGATACAGAGGGTAGCTGCTCCAGTGTCAGTCACCTTCTCTTATTTGTAGGTAATTAACCACCAACAAATCAGTGAATTAACTAACCTGAGACCATTTTCCTACACCAATACAAGACTACAAAAAAAAAAAAAAACAAGTTTAATTTTAACAAGGCTGTAAGGAAAAACAAATTCAAGAGAAAATCAGAACCTAGCAACCACAGGGAGTCAGTGTCACACAGAACAGCTCTCTGTAAGGGGTCATAGCTGAGGGCTCTGGGGAAAGTTAGCTTGTCTTACAGAGTATTGGCTCCATAGATGCCTAAGGATGTGGGTATGAGTGCCTATTGCACTGTTCAGAAGGCTTGCTCCTACTACTCAGTTCTGTGTATCCATTCATGTTCCCTTCATTTTTACTCACAAAAGATGGCTGATTATATCTGTTCTAAGTCCTGGGTTATCATGAGGACAGGCATGCACATAGGCAGCTATAAATGAACCAGTGCAACATGTCTCTCCTGCCCTTCCACTCCTATCTCATTCTCAGAGTGAGGAATTGAACCCAGGGCTTTGCACATTCACTCTCCATGCCCAGGCCAGTGGTTGTGTTCTGTTTTAATAATGCAAGCACAGAGGGTTTAAAGTAACCTTTCTTCTACTGTCCCACTGATGATTTTCTGTCCCATCTTGTCCCCCTCTGGATTTGGAGGGGAGGACAGTATGACAAATGCCCATCCACCACTGCCTGAGGACCTCTGCTGTGTTCAGTTACAGCTCTCTGCTATTCTCTTTCCCGTTAGTTCTTCAAAACCATCAATTAGCACGGAAAAAAAGATGCCGCATGAATCAACATACGTTTCTGAAATTAACAGAAAGTCCCACACTATGTCCGAGGGTGTGTTTTGAACCCACAGCTCTCCAGTTCCCAAATTTGACTTCACTTCATTCCTATGAGCCTTCAAGTTACTTAAGTTGCTACAAAAGAATCGTAAAGCCATTAATGATTGTAGCAGTAGGTGTATATATGATACAGTTAACACAGCACAGGCTCTTCTACCTTATGCCATCCTTTAATATTATGGAATGAATAGCTTCATTGTTTGTGCATAGTTGCATGACATGGGGATTGTGTTTCTCCTAATTTATCTTCTGAAAGACAGATTTACAAGTATTTAGAGGAAAGCTCTCCGGGAGAGAATGTAGGAAGTCCATGATGACATTTCTTATCTTCTCTAGTCAGGCTGTTTCATGCTTCATGTGACTTCATGCTTCCATGTTTGATATGTGTGTGATTCTAGACAGTAGCCCAGAGAGCAGATATTCCATTACTTTATTCATGTGTCTCATCATCTTTCTGTCCTTGGGATCCTGCTTCCTTAGTAGAGGGTACCACATGTGATCCTTGGGTGGGGCCAGTTTCTATACCATGTAAGATTTAGGGAAGCAGGGATGGATGGATGGATGGATGGATGGATGGATGGATGGATGGATGAATGGATGGATGGATGGATGGATGGACATATAAGAGAGCAAGTAGGTAAGGTAGGAAAGTGTGCCCCAGCAGAATCCATCTACAGACCATCCCCTGCTGGATGTTGGAAGAATTAGATTCTTCACCAAACCTGTTATCCCCCAGCACTATAGCAACTGACTTATATAAATTCGCTCATCATCACAACTGTAAGGTAGGATCTGTGGTAATTAGCCTCTGGGTCTGTATCTGAGGGGTTGTGTTGACTGTGTTGCTTAAGGTGGGAAGACCCATTCTTATGTGGGAGAGACCAGCCCCTGGGCTTGGTTCCTGGGCAAACAAAACAAAACAAAACAAAACGAAAACAGAAGACAACAAGATGAGCAGGAAGATTCTTCTTCCTTGTTTCCTGACTGTGGACTCAATGTGGTCAGTTCTCTTCCACTCCTTCATCTATGGCTTCTCTGTCATGCTGGACTATGCCCTGTAACTCTGAACCCAAAAAATGCCCTGTCCCCATAGGCTGCTTTGGTTAGGTTATTTTATCAGAGCAACAGGAAAATAACAAAAAGGGGCCCTGGGGGCTCAGAAAGACTGAAACAGTCAGGGTAAAACAATTCACACAGATAACAATTTATCAGCCATGACCCCTATCAGTCCAACTCCAAAAATCCTCTCTTGATCATTTATGCTCTATTATCTAGTGATGCTAAGAATCGAGGAACACATTTGTAGCCCAGTGATTCTGCAGCCCTATACTTAACAAGATTTTTCTTTAGGGATTTTTCAGTCTTGAGACTATAGCTCAGTGGAAGGATGTTTGCTTAGCATGCACACAACACTGGCTCCAATTCCTATATATCAATTCCTAGTACACACACACACACACACACACACACACTGAGAGAAAGAGAGAGAGAGAGAGAGAGAGAGAGAGAGAGAGAGAGAGAGAGAGAGAATATGAATTTCTATCTTCCTTCCCTTCAGTGTCATATCTCTTACTGGAAGAAGGGACTAGCAGAGAAAAGTAAGGCATTTTTCCAAAGCACTTTGCTTTCCAAGTTTACTACGTCATAGCTTCATTAACAACCCCAGAGAAACCATGGGCTGCTGTCCAGCCCCTCACCATGCAAAGCTGCCCAGTCCCTCATCTGATTCGACTTACTCCATGGAGTCAATGATCTTTCTTGGCTCCACAGGGCATGGGTAGATGACTTCATCGATGTGGCTCAGGTTGCAGTTAGAAAAGGCAGTGGAGATGTGGATGAAGGCTTCCAGCTTTGGCATCTGGCTGGCCATTAGCAGGAGCTGCTGGGTGGCGGTGACGTTCAACTGCACAGCTTCTCTGGAGAGGATGAAGTAGAAGGAAGCTGTAGCCCCGAAAGTTGGGAGGAGCTAAGGTGGGAGGAGTAAGGAGAGGAAGAGGAGAAGGAAGAGGAGGAGCTGGAGGGACAGAGAGGTAGAGCCATGGAGGAGGATCACACTCGGGTCCAGGATGGTCTAAGGTAACAACTTATATCTAGGTTAATTAATTGAGAAACATCTATAATTATGTGGGTATCTTGTTGATTGAGCATTACCAAATATATAAAGCCTTTGGATAATCTTTAAACATTAGTCTCATTTATACTGGGTACCACATGGATGGGATGGTCTGGGCTCAGCCCAGTCTTGTGGAGACGGCATGGAAGATTGGCAGAGCCATCTCCCATGCTGGTGTCTCGTGGGTGGCAGGGCTGGTGAGAACACACTGCTGCTCGCTTGTGGCCTCGGGCCTAGCCTAGTTGGGAACATGGCGGCTCCGTACATGTGCTGCTGTTTTAAATATCTCCTTCAACAGGAAGCAGTAAAGACACTCAGCATACCTGGTGTACCACACTGTGACTGTACCTTCTTCAATGACTGGCCTACCACACTGTGATTGTACTTAACCCTGGGGCTGATATACGAAGCTTTTTAACTTATTGTGTATATGCAACGACTATACCTACTTCAGTACTAGGTAGATGGCTGAGATTTTGGTGGTACATCATGAGACAAGGAGGAAAAGGATGGCCTGTGGCTTCATAGATCTGTGACACATGAAATCATAATGTGCCTCCTGGTGTGCGGGGTCCTTAGTCCAAGTCACTGAAGCACTGTCAATACTGGGTCTAGAGGTTATATGATTCTTATCAGTAAAACAGATGTAAAACATGGTCCTTTGAATTTACTAACTGGCTTCCAGAAGTGGCCCTTGAAAGAACAAACAAACAAACAAACAAAAAACAACAAATGAAGACTCTAACTCAAGAAGATGGAAAATACAAATAACATGGAGGAAACTAAGAGTAGTTATTTGAAATAACAGTGTAAGCTGTTGTAAAGATCCAGGCCAGCCATGAAGATTGATGCCAAATCCTAAACTATAGCCAATACTGTAGAAAGCTGTATAAACTCAGTATAAGCAGTAATATGGCCATAATTCACTCAAGGGATACATGCTTTATCCAGCATCAGGAAACCTAAGCCAACTCAAAAAGAGAGAAACTATATCACCATGCACACATTACTGTTAAGTATGTGTGCTTATGCATGCATGCATCTGGATGTAAGTACCCACAGAGCCCAGAGGCTTTGTATACCCTAAAACTAGAGCTACAGGCAGTTGTGAGTCATATGATATGGGTGCCCTATCATATGACTAGGGGCCCCTGCAAGAGCAGTCAGTTTGCAAGCTTAGCTTCTGTGCCATCTTTCCAGTTTGCTCTTTCTTTCTTTCTTTCTTTCTTTCTCTCTCTCTCTCTCTCTCTCTCTCTCTCTCTCTCTCTCTCTCCTTCCTTCCTTCCTTCCTTCCTTCCTTCCTTCTTTCTTTTGGAACAATATGAAATTACATTTTATATCCATTTCCCACATAAAGAGACTTACTAATAAAATGATAAAAGATCACACGTTTCAAGTTCTATCCAAAGCCATAACTAATGAGGAAAGGCTAGGAATATTGCCTTTCAGGGTAACAAAGATGCCTTCAGATATTGTCAGTTAGTCCCTGACATTACTACGAGGAACTATTCCAAGATTGGAGAAAAACCCAGTTAGTAAATGGATGTAAAGCCCTGAAAGCCCAGTCACAAAAGTTGCTGTAAAATATGATATATTTTGGAAAATAAATGAAAGAAGCTAATAAATAAATAAATAAAGAAAGAAAGAAAGAAAGAAAGCAAGCTGGTAATCCATTCAGTAAAGCATCTACGAAAAATTATGGCAAAATACTAAAGTATTATTCTACATCTAAATGAAAACCGGGCAATACGGTGGCCTGAAAGCACACGTGCCTGAGCATCTGGACATAAAGAAGTCATTAGTGGACACATAAAACCTCGTAAATTTCATGAGTCAAGTACAATGGAATAAGTGGAAAGACATTTTTTATTGAATGGGAAGGATTGGTGTTTCTGAAATGTTAACTTTCTAGATGAATCTATATGAAGATAACTTGGAAAAATCACACTAAATTTAAATAAGATATAATTAAGGTATGTCTGTTTTAAAAGTTTCCTTTGAATACTAATGCCCTAATCAACATTATTTTTTTAAAAATGGTGTGGTATTTTCTGAGACAGCTTGATCAATGGAAGAAGGAGTGTTAAGTAATTTAGGACAAGAATTTTGTCCGGAAATAGATTGAAAAACAAACCCTCTGATAAGCATTGTTTGAGAACTAACCATCTGTCAGAGAAAAAAGACAGCTACTGTCTACATAAGCAGTTCATTATTTTTATAGAATTTCCCTGACTATCCCTGTTCATAGTTATAGGCATTTAAAATGAGCTGGGTGTGGCAGCACACACCTTGAGTGCCAGGGCTCAGGAGGCAGAGGCAGGTGGGCCTCTAAATCCCAGGCCAGTCTGTTCTATGTAGTGAGTTCCAGGACAGTCAGGGCTCTGTACAGAGAGACCCTGTTTCAAAATAAATGAATAAATAATAAGTAAATTAATGAACTAATAAAGACGTTTCTAACGGACCAAAGATCTAAATATAAAAACAAAAATTACAACAATTAATTCAAGAAATTGTGAATACATAACTGAGTAGAAAGACAAAGGGAAGCTGAAATAAGCTGAGCTTTATAAAAGATAAAGTTGATATGTGGACCCTTCCAGGTAATCTTGAAATCACACACACACACACACACACACAAATCAGTTCAAAATAAGAAAGCAAGATGGATAGACATTCCATGAAGGAAATTATCAACACCATTTAAACAAGCCTTAGCCTTTCTAATCATCAAAGAAATAAAGAGAAATGTGCACTGTCGTGTCTGCTGTCATTTCCAGCAGTACTGGAAAGGGTATAGAAGACTCCTAGCAGGACACCCTTTCTGTGAAGTTATGTCTACATAACAGCGGAAGCAGGCAGAAAGGTGGGCATACATGCACGCCACAGTAGACTGTCACCTCTGCACACTGGGATGTGGAGACACTCTGAAGATTCTTTGTATGTTTCTTCTTAAACTTTACACTGGAAAATGTTTTGTGGGGTTTCTTTCCTTTTGTGATTCTTATTTTTACACATTCCATGAATTCTTACACACACACACACACACACACACAGAGTGAGAGCACGCGTGCGAGAGAAAGGGGGAGAGAGAGTGAGAGAGAGAAGCTACAATAGTATGGGGAGAGCTTACCTCAGATGTGCATCAAAGCGTACTGTGGCTGCACAGTGGAAGACAATATTGGTGCAGGACAGAAGTTCTTGCATGTCTTCCTTGCTGATGGCGAAGTCACGATGGTTGAGGTCTGCAGAGATGGGTCTAATCTTCTCATGCACATTTGGACAGACTTCTTTGACTCTCTCAAACAGCTGAAACAGAAGTCCACAGCCAAGTACCTCGTTAATGCCATAAAACCCTGCTTTGTATACCTGCCTTTTATTTTAGCACTCAAAACCTGGTTTACACAAATACTAGTATTTTCTTTGAAGGTGTCTCCACTTTATTTCATACATTAGGTATAATTTGGATCCTAACTCCGGGAACATCTGAAGAAGCCATATCTAATATCAGTCGGGTGCATATTTTGAACTTTTCCCTGGACATTAAGGGGTGAAGGTCTCTGGGCTGGAAAGTTTTATGTCAACTCGACAGAAGCTAGAGTCATTTGAGAGGAGGTAACATCAATTGAGAAAATGCCTCCATAAGATCAAGCTGTAGGCAAGCCTGTAGAGTGTTTTTTAAATTAGTGATTGATGAGGAAGGGACCAGCCTATTGTGCATAGTACCACCTGGTTGATGGTCCTGGGCGCTATACGAAAGCAGGCTTAGCAAGCCATGAAGAACAACAAGTCAGTAAGCAGCACGTCTTCATGGCCTCTGCATCAGCTCCTGTCTCTGGGAACCTGCCCTTGAAGCCTTCAACGATGGACTATAATCTGGAAGTGTAAGCCAAATAAACCCATTTCCCTCCCAACTTGCTTTTTTGGTCATGGTATTTGGTCCAGCCTATTTTCAATAAGATGGAATTTTCATACAGCATCCATGGAGATAAATATTTGAAACTATTGAGAGTAAACAAAGTCAGTCTTTGATTTTTAAACATAAAGCAATGTCAGAGAAGACCACACTCCGAAGACTGTATGCTCCTTGGTTCATAGTAGCAGACTCTTTGGTTGAGTAATAAAACATTAAATCTGGGCTTTGGATACGGCTCAGTTGGCAGGGAGTGCTTGCCTTCCATACACAAGACCCTGCGTTTGACACCTCCAGCATTGCATAAAACCAGGCACATCAGTGATCCCAGCTCTAAAGTTCAAGGTCATCATTTTTGCTTAGCCAGTTTAAGGCCAAATTGGACTGCATGAGACACTATCTCAAAACAAAACAAACAAAAACATCAAAAAAATCCAAGTAGTCAAATAAATTATATTGCATTTGCATCAGGCAAGAGCATATTCAAAGACATCCTTGGAGCTGGGTGAAGATGACTTGGGAAAGGACTCAGGCCCACAGGCAGCCAACAAGTCCCTGAGCATCCATTTTCTACATGGTAGGGCTAGCCCATCAATAGGTATCATTTCAGTTCTGAAAACAATTAGGAAGATGGGTTGGTCCTCAGTGTTTTGTTTTGGCATTTGGGATAGATAAGGTTAATTAAATGTCCTGGATTTATTCTGGCTCTTGGAGACAGATCTTTAACAGTTCTGATCTTAATCATAAATATGTTTTTATAGTCAATTGTATCAAAAATACATTTTTATAGTCATGTATCTCCCAAAGATAATTCTTTTAGTTGTGCACTAACTGTATGAGTTTGTGTGAAATGTTTGCAATTTCTGCCTTTTTGTAACTGAGTTTATATGAGTCTCTTTGAATCTTTATGGTATAATTTTTATTCATTGTTAACTTGTTTGAAGTTTTGTGAACACTATGACTTTGGAGAGGAGCATAAGTTGGGGGGGGCAGATTCATCACCCTGTGCACCACTTTTGAAAGAGATCAGAGCCAGAATGTGGACTCTTCAGTGAAGGGGGGACCCCCATGCCTCATTTGGGGGGGCATCTACAAGGAGGTTTGGCTTTATTTTCTGAGCATCATTGGATATAATCTTCTTTTATGGGAGCCTTTGATCTCTATTGCTTCTATTGAATCTCTCTCTTCAAAAAAAGAACTGTATTATCTAGTCCTGGTAATACACCAGTACTTGTTTAGTTAGTACTTTTGTCATGGGAAAATGGTAACGTCTTTAAGCTAAAGGGCAGACTGTGGACCTTCCAGACCTCTAAAGTGAAAGAAAGACTCTAAGAAGTTTTCAGGTGTGGAGCTGAAACACCAGGGATGTTGGGTGTTAGGTACAGTCCAGTTCCAATTAAGTTTATATAAATCATACTGAAGAACTTACAAATCCAAAATATAGTGAAGCACATACCCACAGACACACACACACACACACACACACACTATAAAGCATCAGGCTCTTCCTCTTTGCTATCCATTCCCAGCAGCTGCAATGGAAGTTTTTAACTGCTTCAGTGGGGACCATTGCTGTTACACTACACAGCAATGTGGTGTGATCATGTGGTTTGGACTGCCTGGAAGGTATAGAAGGTTGCGAATCAACAGTTCTGAGTTGAATCGTGGCCATCTGTGCTTAGTACCAGCATCTAAAGGCTGTGATGGGTGACACACCACAGGTGCGTATCTAGAACTGTGCATATTCTGCAAAGATATCAGACCGGTCATCATGTGGGGCTGGGCTAAATCCCCATCCTGTTCTTTGTTCTTCATGTAATTAGAGCAAAGTTCAAAGTTCTCTGGGCCTTTCTTTTTTTGCACATTTACTTAAGATGCCAATCGTGGGACTGTATCATCCTGTGACCTTAGAGAATTAAGAGATTCACTATAAAAGGCTATTTTTGGGAACAGTCTTTCACTTGTCAGAACTTCAGTTCACTTTTTATAGGAATCTATACTCGGTACTAATGGTGGCACATGCTAATCATCTTTTTATAGTGATTCCATAGTGTGCCTTGAGAATCCGTATGTAGGCAGGAAAGAGTTAGCCTGGGAGATGGAGACCAAACATAAATTGTTTCTAGCTCTAACAGGACCATGTTGAAGGGAAAGGTGCTGACTGACAGGCAGACTCAGCACTTTGGCTTCTAGGACTTTGTCACCAAGGAAGCAGCTCTGAGAGGAGGAGACAGTGTTTTGGTTCTCAGAAGAGTCTGTCTTTCAGTTTTTCTGTGTCACCTCTTTGGCACAGATCACACAGCCTGGGGGAGAGGGCAGTTTTCTGGGATTAACATCTTATCTGCGACATAAGAATGAACACTTCACAAAGGTTTCTAAGATTAAATATGATAACAAGAAAGTTTGTGTCTGGCATAGCATGTTATTTAATGGGTCCTTAAAAAACGGGAAGCTCTTTCTGGGGTTCTATTATTTATTTCCCAAAGCTGCCAAACATGGAGTGTTCCCTCTCTTTTTCCCTCTCCTGCCCTCCTCACCCTCTTCTTCTCTCCTCACCTTCTCACCTCTTCACCCTCCTTCCCTCCTTTCCTCTCTTCTCTTTCTCTCCCTCCTCCCTCTCCTCTTTTCTTCCTCTTCCCTCTCCTCTTCTCCCTCCCCTCTGCTCCCCTCCTCTCCTGTCCCCTCCTTCTTTTCCTCTATCCCTCCTCACCCTTTCCTTCTCCCCTTCTCTCTCCTCCCTCTCTTTTTTTTCTTTTTCTTCCCTCTCCTCTCTGTCCCCTCCCCACCCCTCCTCTTCCTTCCCCTCCCTTCCTCTCCCCTCACGACCCCCCTCACTGTATTGAACAAGTACTCTCTGATCTTAGTAGCTGTCAAATTGGCATAGTGTCTTAAATCAAGCTGTGCTATGTGAGCTGAGGTCATGGCTCTGAGCCCTGCTTGCCTCATCATCCTTTGTATTCCAAAGTTTATTCACCTCAGGGACAGGTAACAGCTTATTGAATAATTTCTGTTTTCCATGGAAGTTTATATAGTTTCCAACGGAACATGCCAAATGACAGGCTTAGCTTATAAAAGTGCAGCATAATGCGGTATGTGGGCCCATGCCTTTAATGCTAGCACTTGGGAGGCAGAGACAGGAAGATTTCTGAGAGTTCAAAGACAGCTTAGTTTATATAGTAAGTTCTAGGCCAGCCAGAGCTGCATAGTGAGATCCTGTCTCAAAAACAAACAAACAAACAAACAAATAAATAAATAGATACGTAATAAATAAATAAATAAATAAATAAATAAATAAAGTGAAAAGACTTAAGAATTAGGAGCCATAAGTAAGATGATGAGTCTTTTCTGGTTCTCTGTGCCCAGTGGATTAAAAAACTCTTGGATGTTGCCTCTCTCTGAGATCAGGGAAACAGGAAGAGGGAGACAGGAGCTACATATCCCACAGAAGGAGAAGGAAGCAATCTATGAGTTTTGATGGACAGAACATATGTCCTCTCTTCCATAATCCTAGGCATGTATAGATAACCAGAGGCAAACTGTGCTCCCTGTGTGTGTAGTGCCCATAGAGGCCAGAAGAGGGCGCTAAATTCCAAGGAACTGGAGCTATGGACGGTTGTGAGTCACCATATGTGTGCTGGGAACTGAACCTGGGTCCTCTGCAAGACCAGCAAGTGCTTGTAACTACTGAGTCACCTCTCCAGCCCTCATTTTATACTTTAAGACTCGGTGAAAGTAAAGCTGTTTTAAGAGTGACAAGTGCTATATATTTCCTCAAATGGATTTGCCCAATCCCTACATTTTGTCTGTAATTTGAGAACTTTAATTGTAATTTAATCTGTAATTTTTTCCTTCCTTCCTTCCTTCCTTCCTTCCTTCCTTCCTTCCTTCCTTTCTTTTTCTTTCCTTCTTTTTCTTTATCTTTCTTTCTCTCCCTCTCCCTATCTTTTCTTTCTTTCTTTTCTTCCTTCCTTCTTTCTTTTTCTCTCTTTCTTTTTCTTCCTTTCTTCCTTTCTTTCTCTCCTTCCTTCTAAGGTCTTTTCATCAATATTCTTCACTTCTCTCCTGGGTGAGCTAGGATATCTTCCACATCTAGCCCAGTGTTGGCTTGCAGAATTGGCACTGCATGGACACTTAACTTCAGCCCAGACCAGTCTTCCTGTAGAATAGGTCTCAGCTTGGTTCCCATTGCTATGTACAAGGAGATATCAATAGCTTGGAGGCAATGCATAAAAGATGGCAACCTTCTTGGACCCCAAGTGCCTTGGGTGTGTTGCCTCTCCTCTCAGCTGGCTTTCAGGGACAGTGGAAGCTGTCTATCTCAGCACATGTTTGTAATTCATATAAGCCAGACAGCAATAGCTAGCTAAGTACACATGTGAATGAGAACAGATACATCACAGATCCATGAAATTTGGAAGATTAAGATTACTTATGATCCTGGCACAGTGGTACAAGCCTGGAATTCCAGCCCTTGGGAGATAGAGCAGGTAGACACTGAGTCTGAAGGCCATTCTAAGCCACATAGCAAGACCCCACCTCAAGCACAGCAATAACTAAAAAGCCACCTATTCATCTTGATTTTTGTCTCTTACAAAAGCCATGGTGAACTGAGAGGTGAGTGAGTGTGGAAATGTGTGTGTGTGTTTGATGTAAGCGTGAATAAAACTGGTTCAGGTAATCCACGATTTGGCTTTAGGGATAATGAACAAAAGAGCTTCTCTGGGTGAAAGAACTCAGAGGTCGTTGATAATATCTTTCTATTATGCAATACAATATTTTATGCATTGATATCTCATTTAATTCTCACAAATCTCTGTGAAATACTTTTGTTAACTGATCCATTGTATAGATAAAAAGGTTGTGGGTGGGTTAGGCAACTATGGCAAGATCTCCATGCTGGGCTGTTTCTCTGGTTGTGGGAAGGAGTAGGACCAAGTCTGAAGCCTTTTCTACTGTCCTACGCTATTCATCTTGCAAATCCAAGAGCTAAGCCTAGTAGTGACTAGTTACTGAATACTTAGACTTCTAGAACTATCAAACCATCCGTACAATAGCTGTGAGACAAGAAAGCATTAAAAGGGAAACCACCAGAACCGCACTTGTGACGCCAAGAGAGGGCTAAGCTTGGGCAATGGTGTTCAGAGTTGTTCAGTGCCATCAGCATCAAAGGTCGCCCTCTAGTGGCCCACTTCTGCCAGTCAGGCTGTATCTCAAATTTCACAATGGAGAACAAATACCCCAAACAGAGAAGGGACATTTTAGATTCAAACTATTACAAAGATGATTTCCTTTCCTGCCTTAGATATAATGTAAGCACCTTGATCTCCTTGGAGAAAACACCCCAGGTTTCACTATTGTGTCTTCCTTTTATTTTCCCTGTATGCTCTGGCCCATAGGTGGGAGTTTGTTTTCATTTCTCTTATAGCTGTTGTGTTAAAATACCCCAACAAAAGCAACTTGAGGGTGAAAAGGTTTACTTTACCTCACAGTTCAAAATAAAGTCCATCCTAGCCATGAAATCAAGGCTGCAGGGCTTAAAGGAACTGGTCACATTGTATCCACAAATGAGGTAAAGAGCTATAAATTCTTTTTTTTTTTTTTTTTTTTTTGATTTTTCGAGACAGGGTTTCTCTGTGTAGCCCTGGCTGTCCTGGAACTCTGTAGACCAGGCTAGCCTCGAACTCTCGAACCCAGAAATCCGCCTGCCTCTGCCTCCCAAGTGCTGGGATTAAAGGCGTGCGCCACCACCGCCCGGCAAGAGCTATAAATTCTTGTGCTCACCCCTTTATATATAGCCCAGGGTCCCAACTCAGCATATGGTGCCACTCACTATGGGGAGGTCTTCCTGCCTCAAATACTCTTAATTAAGATAGTCCCCCACAGGAATGTCTCAACTGACCTACATGACTACTCACAAGTGCTTGGAGGCTTGTCTCCTGGTGATTCTAGATCCTGATAGTTAACACTAACCATTACAGAGTTGTAAGGAGACATGTACCAAGTGACTTGTCCCCACAGTGATGCTTCATCATAGACGGCCCTCCCCGAAAGACATACCTTACTGTTGAGGATCTGGAAAACCCTCTCCTGCAGTGTCTGTCCAGACTTGGGTCTCACGAGGATGTAAATGACTTTCAAATGGGGGCTGGTCCGGAATAACTTCTCCATGAGCACCTTGCCCAGGAAGCCTGTGGCCCCTGTGATGAGGATAGATTTGTTGCTGTAGAAAGCTGCGATCATGGACATGATTCCTCTGTTCTCCTTATACGGTTCTGGGAAGAGAGTCCTGAAAAGAGAAAAACAACGTAAGATCTCAAGGTCAGAAATAAGATAAGTTTTAAAATTCATGGTCACTTACAATATGTCCAGGGCTTTCAGAAGTTCTGGGTGGAGGGGAAAACTGAGAACCACAGGCTTCTGGGGAGCAAGACTGGCCCCAGTCAATGTTTCTGAACTCACTCTGCATCCTAGGTTTCATACTAAGGACACAGTCTAGTTCTAACGGAGGACACAGACATAGAGAGACCTATATCATAACTATATAACTATACTGTGGTGAGTGAAAAACAGACCAGGGTTGTGGAATAGCAGGAACTGGGTACTGACATGTGGCTGTGGCCATAGTGGTAGTGTCAAACATGGTGACTTCAAGTTGTAGGCAGACAAGGGCAGGTGTAAGGGTGGTTTAGGCTGGAAAGCATGAGAACAACCTTCTAAAATTAGAAACCAGGGCTCACACAGCAATCAAATGTTTAAAAATTACAATGTAACTAATACTTCAACTTCAGATTTATTTAGCAACTATGTTGGGGCAGGCAGCATAGTCCCATCTGCTCTTCCTGCTCCTTGGGCTGAAAATAGGTGGCTGCCATTTTCTGCATATGTCAATCTGGAGATTCAGCCATTGTACACAACAAAGGCAGAGCGGGCTGACAGAGGAAGAATGAAACCACTGGCTTTGGGGTGCCTAGAAAGAACAACAGGAACAGCAGCTGCCTGGGCCATTTGGGATTGCTGTTTGTAGGAGGATAGGAAAGAGCTGACAAGGTAGCTGAGGACAGGGGTGGCCCAGGGTTCTCTGGCTGCTGATTTGAACACCTCTTCTGGGTTGTAAAAGAGCAATTATGTGTTCTCTTCAATTCTAACTGGGGGACTGCCTGACAGCTACCCAGAGAGCACAGGAAGACCCGCTCCTCTGGCAGATCAGGACAGCTCTGCTTTCTGTTGCTAAGATCAATTTCAGGAAGGCTGTTTCCATTTTATAGTGTCTACCCCAGTCTTGCTTCTCCAGAGATTTGAGGTTTTCATTTCATTTCTTTTACCTCCTAGATAAAGTATTTTCTTTAAGGCTATTGTGATAAGAAAGTGTGTCTAGGATTACCTTTCTGGCTTGTTTGTGGTTGGTGTACAGAGAGGCTGATGATGTTTGCAAGTTGATTTTGTATCTTGCCACTTTGGTAAACATGGATCATTCTTAAAATTTTCTGGTGGAATTTTGGGGATCTCTTATCTATCATATCATAATCTGAAAACAGGGATCATTTGATTTCTTCTTCCCTCTACACATCTCTTTAATTTCTTTCTCTTGCCTTATTGCTCCAGCTAGTGTTCCAAGAACTAAAATGAAGAGGAGAGGGGAGAGTTGACAGCCCCATCTTGTTACTGATTTTAACTGGATTGTTACAAGTTTCTCTCTATCTGGGGGTGATGCTGGGTGTGAATTTGTTATATATAGCCTTTATTATGTCAGAGTTTGTTCTCTGTAGCCTTAGCCTCTCTAGAACTTTTATTATGAAGGTATGTGGATTTTGTCAAAGGCCTCCTTTTGCATGAGATGATTATGTGACTTATATTTATTGACTTGTATATACTGAATGCTTCCTGCTAGCTCATTGATCTTATAAAACCAAGTCTAAAAAAATGAAAGAAAAAAATTGGCTCTGAATCCACTATTTCAATATAAATTTTTAAAGTTTGTTTTATGTTTGTGTGTGTGTGTGTGTGTGTGTGTGTGTGTGTGTGTGTGTGTATGTGTGTGTGTATACCATATACGTACCAGGTGCCCTCAGAGGCCAGAGAGAACATTGGGTCTGCTGGAACTAGAGTTACAGACAGTTGTGAACAGCCATGTTGGTGCTGGGAATTGAACCCAAGACATCTAGAAGAGCAGCAGTGCTCTTAACCACAGAGCCATCTCTCCTGCCCCCATTTCAATACAGTTGGTTAAATGCATGTTCCGAGTATCTACTTATGTAAATAAGTATGTGAATCTGTTCGTTGTTGAGGCATGACCACAATGCAAGGCATCAGAGTTTTGAAGAGGAAGTCAAACATGGCATCTGGAAAGCCAAGTACATGTAAATTTTATGTTTCTCTTTTCTCTTGGAGATTTGTAAATGGAGACACACTACAAACACAGGAAAAGTTGATCTGTTAGGCCAATGAGCATGGGAACGCAGCTGAGTGAATAGTAAGCCAGCATAATCTTTACATTTTGCTTAGAATGAAAATCTCTCATAACCAAACCACTTTCCATTCATTTTTCAAGTGTTTGGTTCTGTTCTGCCCCCCGCCCCCGCAAGACATTGAGAGGGCTGCAGTACCCACAGCTGTCCACTGTGGGGCAGTGCCTGCATTCCGAGGCCTCTATAAGCTAGATTCACCCAAACCCCCATGATGCCATCCGTGCCAGCTGTGACGAGGGAAGGCAGAGCAGTGGGAACAGCATCATGGGAATTTGAGCTACTTTTTCCGTGTAACTTGTTTGTGTCTGCATAGTCTGCGCAAGCCCATTCACAACTTAATGTAAACACACACTAGCTCAATGTAAAAACCATGTGCTGCACAATCCTAGTTCCTGGCCCTATCATATCAAGCAAAGCTCAGTCATGACTGTTCAAATGTGTTAAGATAGTGGACCAGACTAAACTCTATTCTACTAAGAGACGACAAGCCATTTGTTAAAGGGATGGTATCCTAAATCCGTCTGTCTCTCTTCTCCCCTCAGCCCTTGTCTCTGTGGCATGCATGCATGTGTTCACATGTGTGTGCAAGCCAGAGGACCACCTTGGATGTTATTGCTCAGGTGTCATCTAACTTGGTGTTTATTTATTTATTTATTTATTTATTTATTTAATTTATTGACAAGATCTTTCCATGGCTTGGAACTTGCCAAGTAGACTAGGCTTTCTGGCCATCAAACTAGCCTGTTTCTACCTTCCCCTCACTGGGATCACAGCTTTGTGAGGCTTCTGGGTCTTTATGCTTATGTGGCAAGTATTTCCTGCCTGAGCCATCTACTTAACACTTGCATCTAAACCTTAAGGGGCTTTCATTGTGAGTCTCCTATTGTGGCCTGCCAGAGATGCTGCCACTGATCATTCTTGCACATTGTATCTGCTGAATATTAGAGCCACGTGGCAGTGTGGCATGAGCAAGGCCTGGATCTACTGTATAGTTTCCTATTGACCCAGATCTCATCCTAAGCCAGGTGCTTTGGAGATCTTTGGGTGACTGGGCTGTTATCACATCTAAGTGAGGACTATGCTACCAGTAAGCCCAAAGATTTCACCATTTCTTGCTCACTAGATCCTCTCAGCAAAATATCATCAATGTAATGGACCAATGTGCTGGTTTGTGGAAAGGAAAAGCAATCAAGATTCAGGCTAATTAAATCTATCGCAGGGCTGGAGAACCGTTGTGTTCCTGTGGTAGGATGCCAAGGTGTATCAATGACCTTCTTAGCCAAAGTAAACTGCTTATTACATCTTAATTCAGGGTAATGGAGTCAGTAGCATTGTATCGATCTGAGCACAAGGTAACTGTAGCATTGTGTCGACCTGAGCATGAGGTAACGGTAGCATTGTGTCGACCTGAGCATGAGGTAACTGTAGCATTGTGTCGACCTGAGCATGAGGTAACGGTAGCATTGTGTCGACCTGAGCATGAGGTAACGGTAGCATTGTGTCGACCTGAGCATGAGGTAACTGTAGCATTGTGTCGACCTGAGCATGAGGTAACTGAATTAGCTCAAGCTGTGTACAACAGTTGTATGTTGGATGTAGCACATGTATTTAGGGCCACTGCTTGGCTAAGCTGAAGATAATCAGATGCCATTTTCTAAAACTGCACACGGGCAGACTAACTAGGTAAACTGAATCCGGATGAGGTAGGAATCATGACCCTGTGCCTTTCATATCCTTTATGGCAGCAATAATTTCTGTAATCTTTCTGGAAGTATACTTTTGCTTTGGGGACACCACTAATTGATGGATAGGGTAGCTCTAGTGACTTCTACTTGGCCTTGCCCACCAGTGTATTCCCATTTTGAAGGTAGTGAGGCAGCCCAGGAGTTATGCCTGTTCTGGAATGTGTTTATTCTACTATGCATCTGTAACCTGAAAAATCCACCACATGTTGAAAGGAAAGCCTGACCCACTGTGAGCAGGACCTGGCTAAAGGCACAGTCTCCTTTAGAAGTGGTGTTTCAGGGCTGATGTCTGAGTTCCTTTATCCCAAGTGCACCATTTATTTTTCTTGCAAGTGACCACACCTTCTAGGCCTCACTGGGGGAAACTGGACAAAAAAGGGGTTAACGGGACAAATTCTTGGTAATGTATTGGACCCTCAAGCAAATCCAGTCTTAGATTCTTACAGTCCAGGGAATTGGTTGAAGAGCTTCAATAATCTGTTTTACAATTGTAGCTAGACTTTTGTTCAGTTGTCCTAAAACTTTTCTGCTTGTGTAAATCAAGTAAAATTTAGTAGATGCATCCCATCCTAAATTATCTATAAGAGTACCATAAGGTGGGTGTTTTAATGGGTAAGGGCAAGTGTTGTTCTTTCAGAGGACCTGAGTTTGATTCCCAGCACCCACACTGAGCAGTTCAAAACTACTTATATTGCCAACTCCAGGGGATCTAATACCTCTTGGCCCCTATAACCAGCCTCACACATGTAGCAAACATTCATAGAAATGTGTACAGATACACATTAATAAAGATAAAAATAAACCTTTTTATAAAAAAATAGCATCATGGATAATGACACACAGCTTAATCCCAGTATTTGCAGGAGGCAAAGACAGGCGGACCTCTAAGTTTGAGGCCAGCCTGGTCTACAGAGCGAGTTCCAGGATAGCCAGGGCTACACAGAGAAACCCTGTCTTGAAAAATAACAAACAAACAAATAAAAGAGTATCTTGGCCAGGTTGCCACCACTACAGGTTCCTGCAAGTTAGGTTATTCTGCTTTGACCCTACTGACCCAAGTTTATGACGCCCACAAT